GAGCACGAGTGGAATGTGGGACCCTATCCAGAGAAGCAGCAACACCAGAGATGGAGGCAGAGATGAGGACATAGAGAGAGGGAGCAGCTGAGGACTCTAGATTCATGTAAAGAGAGGGACTGTGTGCTGGTGGCCAGGAGGCAGGCTTGCAGAACGTGCCTTTTGGTTGTTTAAGTTATATGCTCCTGAGTGTTTCTGTGTACACCCCCCCAAAAGAAGAACAAAAAACACAGGGATGCATGGGGGAGATTGTAATCATTGCAGTGAAATGATGGTTGTTTTTTGTTTTTTTTTTAAAAGGAATGTCTTTGTTAAGTAATGAAAAATGTTCTGAAATTAGATATTGGTGATGATTGTACAACTGTGCAAATGCTAAAAACCAGTGAACTATACTCATTGAAAGGCTGCAGTTTTTATATATGAATTATATCTCTAAGAAGCTTTTATTAAATAAAAACTCAGGAAAAAAAAAAGAAAAGAAATTAGCATTTAAAAAATTCCTCCAGCAGTCTATATACGAAACGTTTAACAGGCTGTCCATGAAACAGCTCAGTCAGTCAGCCCTAGGGTCAGTGAGAACAAACTGAATTCTGAACAGGACAGCAGAGGCACGTCCAGGCCATAGGTGCTTACAGGTCCAGAGATATATATAGGAGTAGAGATTCGTACAGGGCTGAGCTGTGGACAGGAATGCTTTGTTGACTTTGTCTGATGAAGTGAGTAGACTTTTGTCTTAGTACAAGAAAGAGCATGTGCAAAGCCACAGAGACATGAAAGTGCAGTTTGTGCTTTGTGGCTCTGGTTTGGGGGTGAGGGGAGAATGGGCAGTGTGCAGAGAACCAGAGAAACCCTTTGTACAAAGCTGCCTGGGGTGTGGTGGGCATCTGTATCCAGCAGAGAGGAGATGGGAGTGACAGACATGAAGAGAGTGATTCAGTGGAGAAGGGGAGGGAGTGGACTTGGGATTGGGGGTCTTGGAACTGGACTGTTTCTTAAACAAACATGAGGGTTTAATAAAGCCAGTACCATCACTTTGATTCCAACTTAGAGCACTCCTGTGTAGGGTTCTAAGGCTGTACATTTGGGGGGCTTTTGGTGGTAGGAACTGCTGGGGCTCTTCCCCAAAGGAGTCTTCTTCTTTTAAAAAAATTATTTTAAGTTTTTTATTGTGGATTGAGTGAAAGTTTACAGGGTAGGTCATCAGTTTTACATTTAACAAAATCATACACCTTGTTTCATTACAATGATGATAATCTTCTCCATGTACCATCAGTTAACAGTATTTCTCTCTATTCACCATAGCTCTGTTTTAGAAATCAAAAACAAAAAAAAACGTCAGGCATATATAATAATTTACACCACCGAAGGGCACATTCTGCAAGTCTGCCTCATGGCCACCAGCTCTCAGTTGCTCTTGTCCCAGGAATCTAAAGCCCTCAGCTGCTCCCTCTCTCCATGTCCCCATCTCTGCCTCCATCTCTGGTATCACTGCTTTTCTGGATAAGGTCTCGCATTCCACTTGTGCTCTTCTCCCTTGATGGTCCTAAGGTCTTTTGTTTCTGGACTGTAAGATTAACTGTCCTCCTGGTTTTGTTACAAAACTTCTGCCTTTGCAATTGTGACAGTTGGAATTAGGGATGATAAGAATTACTCACTTTTGAATCATAAGAATCTTATCTCCATCTCTTTTCACTAGATTCATCTAGACAAGATGGAAACTATTCAGTGGTGAGGGACTCTTTCTTCCCCCACACTTAAACTAAACTCCCCTTTGAAACCTTGTAAGCTAGTCACTTCATGCTTTTATTGCCCCCTCAAATAGCGTAGTGGTTACGAATCGGGCTGTGAACCGCAAGGTCAGCAGTTCGAAACTACCAGCGGTTCCGCGGGAGAAAGGTGAGGCGTTCTGCTCCCGTGATTTACAGCCTCAGAAACCCTGTGCAGAGTCACTATGAGTCGGAACTGACTCCACGGCACTTAACAACAACAACAACGACTAAGTTGCCTATCCCTATTAACCTTGTATACAGTGGGGATAGCATTGATACTTGATGTGAAGACTCCTTCCCTCTCTGTTGGTATTTAGAGTTGCTGCCTCCATGAGTATAGGTCAAGTTCACCAAATTGTTTCCTTTATCAAAAAAAAGGGAACAAATCCTTACAGCAAGGATCATTCCCACCCCCTCCATACACTGAGTAGACAGGGATGGGCAACCTAGACATTGGCTGCCCAAAATGGGGGGGGCTACAAAGGCAAGAAGTGACTGGCTTACAAGCTTTCAAGGGGGAAGCTAGATTCATAGGGCATGGTGGAAGGTAGAATCTCCCCTGAGTAGTATATAATCTGTCTAGGCGGGGCTGATGAAATGAAATCTGGATGGATCTCTTGTGATACAGTAGTGAATAATTGTTATCTGGACTGCTTGTGAGGGATGGAATTGTAAAGGTAGACGTTTTTTAGCAAGGAAGGGAGTGGTTAACTTTTCAGCCTAAGAGTGGAGGTCCCTGGGACCATCAAGGGAGAAGAGCGGAGAGTGGGACCCTACCCAGAGAAGCAGTGATGCCTGAGATGGAGGCTCTGATGACGTGGAGAGATAGAGCTGTTGGGGACTTTAGACACAGAGAGGGAGAGGGGCATGACCGGGGGGCATGCTTGTAGTGTATACCCTTTGGATAGTTGATGATGTTGGAGGGGATTGTAACCATAGCAATGAAATGATATACTATAGGATGAATGTAAAACTAATGTTCTCCCATGTAAACTATCACATAATTCACAATAAAACATTAAGAAAGAAAAAAAAAAAATTTTTTTTTTTAAATCTTTTTCTAGTCGAGTTCTGATTATCAAGCCATCCAGGCTAGCTAGGTCAAGTGGGTACTATCGGCAAGTTTGGGTGTTCTTGAGCTCCTCCTCTCACTCCATATCAGCTGGATGCTGCTTCACTCTCAGCTATAGCCCTCTGTGGCTATGTCCTTGTCCATGCGCTCAGGGGTCCCCAGGTCTCACCACACTTGGGACCAACCAGACCTTCCTCTTCTCTCTCACATATCCAGATCAACGTGATTCTATGGAACGTGGTTGAACTCAGCCCATCTTCATTGCTGCCTTGCCCCCTCTTTCATTCACCACTAGACCAACATGGTTGTCAGCAAGTTTACATGCCTGCTCATGTGTTCCCATTGAGTTTCAGTCTTAGAGAGGAGTTTGTTCTGAAGACACTTGATTGCTTGCCTTGATAGCTTCCCAGCAAACAACTTGCGTGGGCTTGTAGTAGCCAATAATACTGCCATTTTTGTTTTGGATTTTTCCTGATGATCTTTCTTTGAAGATGTATCTTCTGTTGCTCTAGCTGTTCCAGGCTGGTCTGCTTATCCCCTCTTGTGGGAATGCCCCACTTCAGAAGGTTCTGGATGGGGCTCAGGATTCCACCTAAGGTCCTACACACTGCAAAGCCTCCCTAGGAGGCATATTTCCCTGGGCAAGTTCTAGAACAGCCCTTTTAGGTATTCCAGTCAGTATAGGCTGAAGACAGGCTTAGAAGCTTTCAGTAATCCTGTTTGCCGACATTCCTTTCTCTCCCACTCAAGTGTCTATTTTACAATAGTAGGCAAGGGAAACCAATATTCATAAGATAATCAAACATCTTAGTATTATGTCCCCTTTTCCAAACTGTGCCTTGATCCTTGTATCGCAGAGCCTTGGTGTTCCAAGGTTGAGCCTGCATCACTATTTATTTACCTCTGTCCCATTTAGCCCGTGCAAACGTGTATCAGTGTTCACACCTATCTACCTTGTTCTTCCGCCCCCTCCCCCTAAGGTTATAAATTTTTATAGGCGCAGAAAGCCTCATCTTTCACCTGTGGAGCAACTGGTAGGTTTGAACTACTGACTTTGAAGTTAGCAGTCCAGTGCTTATTCTACAGTGCCACCAGGACTCCTTAAGTAAAAATAATAGAAAAGATAAACCCTGTCTTCTTGTTGTTAAGTGCTGTTGAGTTGGTTCCCACTCATAACCACCCCATATAGGGTTTCTGAGGAGCGGCTGGTAGGTTTGAACCACCAACCTTGCAGCTCAAACTGACATTGCAGTCCAGTGCATTATCCTGCAGCGCCACACCAGGACTCCAAATACTGTCTACTGGTGCCATAATTTTAATAATAATGATTTATAAAACTCTGTAAAGATGCATAGTGTCAAAGTAACAATAGATCTTGTTAAAGCTGTAGACTTTCTGGTTTCATTTTGTATCAGATTCACTGCTATGGAGTTGATTCGGACTCCTAGTGACTGTGTAGGAAGAAGTCCAGCTGCCCTGACGAGGCTGTTTGCTTTAGCTACTGAGCCGAGTGCTTTAGCTACTGTGCGGTCAGGACTGTTGTTTTGCACAGAGCAGTGTGGACTGTGAGCCTTGTCCTCAGGGTCACATTGGAGAGTCAGTGGTTGGAGGTGTGGAGGAAGGATGGCTTCTCAGGGCTCTTTCATGGTGTTGTGGCAGGACCTGGTGACTCATTGGGTACATATGTGAGCAAGGTGGCAGCTATAAGGAAGGACAACTCTAGATGTTACTCACTCAGAAGGGACAGTGGTAGGGGTCTGACCTGTTGAGACTGTGTTCTGGGAGAGAGATAGCTGAGCAGCAGTCCAGTGTTCGCTCAGGAGGGTGCTGAACACGGACGTGTGGGTTTGGGAGGCATTGCCATTTTTGGGGTAGAGAGTGCCCCCTTGCTTGCTTGTGGGAGATGTCTAATTGTGACAGCTGAATGGAGCCAAGGGTTGGGCAAGTACCCAGGGGTCGGGGAGGGCCGGTGGTTGTTGAGGGAGACAGACAGGCAGGCCAGCCAGGGGACAACCTATAGGAGGCAGGCAGCATCTTAGGCTCTGGGCAGATAGTCATATCTACAGGGCTGAGCAAACCCCAGAGGGTTTGCCCAGGGCGGACTCGTGGAAATGGGGAAATGTGACCCTCTGACCTCTCTTGCAGTTCCGTGAGCCCTCACGATGTTCTGGAAGTTCGACTTGAACACTACCTCGCACGTGGACAAGCTGCTGGACAAAGAGGATGTAACACTGCAGGAGCTGATGGAAGAGGATGACCTCCTGCAGGAGTGTAAGGCACAGAACCGGAAACTGCTGGACTTCCTGTGCCGGCAGCAGTGCATGGAGGAGCTGGTGAACCTCATCACCCAGGACCCGCCCCTGGACATGGAAGAGAAGGTCCGATTCAAGTATGTACTGCTGCCATGCAGGTGGGCTGCATGTTGCGGGGCAGAGCCGCAGGCAGACAGCAGGCCATTTAGGGACAGCTGGCCACAGGGTTTTCACAAATGTTCCACCCTGACTGATGACTGAGGAGGCCACTCGTGTAGTGCTGAGCAGCAGTGATGGTCCCGGAGGGTTTTCAGTCAGAGTCTAGGGAGGTCAGTGATAGACACATCGGCAGAGAAAAAAAGCCACCTCTGGGGAAGGCCTTCTTGAAGTGAGCAAAGACAGTGTGCCTGTGAACAACAATTACCAGCTCATTCCGAAGCAGACACTGGATAGTGATATGATCCAACTGCACAGGAAGAGTGAGGGAGCGGGCAGGAGGTGGGCAAACACCAGGATAGGAGAGGTTGGCCTCTTCCATTGTGGGGAATCCATTCATATGCCTAAAAGTGATGGGGCACCAGGATGTGTGTGTGTGTATATACACTGTACATACAGTATTTAGTCACAAGGAGGATTGGGCGTGTGGGCGGGTGTGTATGAAAATACTATGTACACACTATTTAGAAATGAGGATTGTATGTGTGTGTATGAATACGGCATGAGGAACTCAGCGGACAAGCTCTGTGATAGCTCAAGCGAGTAAAGTTTGCTAAAGGTAACACAGAAACGGCTACAAGCATACATTGACAGAGAACTTCCAGCAGAGGTTCAAGCTGGATTCAGAAGAGGCCGTGGAATGAGAGATATCATTGCAGATGTCCAATGGATCTTGGCTGAAAGCAGAGAATATCAGAAGGATGTTTACCTGTGCTTTATTGACTATGCAAAGGCTTTCGATTGTGTGGATCATGACAAGCTATGGACAACATTGAGAAGTATGAGTATTCCAGAACACTTAATTGTACTTCTGAGGAATCTGTACCTGGACCAAGAAGCAGTTGTTCGAACAGAACATGGGAACACTGAATGTTTTAAAATTGGGAAAGGTGTGAGACAGGGTTGTATTCTTTCACCATACTTATTCAACCTGTATGCTGAGCAAATAATACGAGAAGCTGGGTTCTATGAAGAAAAGCGTGGCGTCAGGATTGGAGGAAGACTCATTAACAACCTGTGATATACAGATGATACAACCTTGCTTGCTGAAAGTGAAGAGGACTTGAAACATTTACTGATGAAGCTCAAAGAGCACAGCCTTCGATATGGATTACATCTCAATGTCAAGAAAACAAAAATCCTCACTACTGGACCAATAAACAACATTCTTATCAATGGAGAAAAGATTGAAGTTGTCAAGGACTTCATTCTTCTTGGATCAACTATCAACACTCGCAGAAGCAGCAGTCAAGAGATCAGACGACGTATTGCCCTGGGCAAATCTGCTGCACAGGAACTTTTTAAAGTATTGAAGAGCAGAGATGTCAGCTTGAGGACTAAGGTGCGCCTGATCCAGGCCATGGTGTTTTCAATAGCCATATGGATGCAAAAGTTGGACAGTGAATAAGGAAGATCGCAGAAGAATTGTGGCCTTTGAGTTATGGTGTTGGAGGAGAATACTGAAAGTGCCATGGACTGCCAAAAGAACCAATAGATCTGTTTTGGAAGAAGTGCAGCCAGAGTGCTCCTTGGAGGCCAGGATGGCTAAGCTTCATCTCTCATACTTTGGACATATTGTCCAGAGGAAACAGTCGCTGGAGAAGGATGTCATGCTGGGTAAGGTAGAGGGTCAGAGAAAAAGAGGAAGACCCCTAACGAGATGGATTGGCCAGGTAGCATCATTGATGGCGTCAAGTGTGGCAGCGGTAGTGAGGTTGGCCCATGATCGGACATTGTTTCGTTCTGCTGTGCATGGGGTCGCTATGAGTCGGTGCTGACTCGATGGCACCTGACAACAACAACATGTGAATACACGATACACACACTATTTAGAAACAGGAGTGTGTGTGTGTGTGTATATGCGTTATGCAAGAAATGAGTGCGTATGTATATGAATTCACGATACATACATGATTTAGAAACGAGGGGTATTGTGTTTGTATATGAATACACACTATGTATATGCATAGGTTGGAAACAGGAGTGTCTGTGTGTTGTGTATAATGACTATACTACTTGTTGATGTTGGTAGGTGCCGTTGGGTCAGTTCTGACTCATAGCGACCTCATGTTATAAGCAGAACATCCACTGCAGTTGTTAAGTTTGAGCCCATTGCTGCTGCCATAGTGCCAGTTCATCTCATTGGGAACCTTCCTCCTTTTCACTGACCCTCCAGTAGCATGATGAGATCCTTCTCCAGGGACTAGTCCCTTCTGATAATAACGTCCAATGTATGAGAGACGACGTCTGGCCATCCTGACTTCTGAGCAGTATTCTGACTGTACTTCTTCCAGCACAGATTTGTTTGTTCTAACGTTCATTTGAAGATTCTTCTCCAACACCCTAACTCAGATGCCTCAATTCTCCTATGATCTTCTTCTTCAGTATTCAACTTTCACATGCATATGAAGCTATTGAAAATACCATGGCTTGGGTAAGGTGCACTTTAGTCCTCAAACGGATGTTTTTGCTTTTGAAAACTTTACAGTGGTCTTGCACAGGAGATTTGTATATTACAATATGTCATTTAATTTCTTGATGGTTACTTCAATGAGTGCTAATGGTGGATCCAAGCAAAACAAAGTTTTTAACAACTTCAAACTTTTCTTCAATTATCATGATGTTATTTATTGCTCCAGTGGTTAGCATTTTTGTTTTCTTTACATTGAGGTGCAACTCATACTGAAGGCTGTGGTCTTTGATCTTCATAAATAAGTACACTAAGCCCTCTTTGCTTTCAGCCAGCAAGGTTGTATCATCTGCGTATCGCAGGTGGTTAATGAGTCGTCCTCCAAGCCTGTTGCCATGTTCTCCGTATTATTTACCTTCTCAGATTATTTGCTCACTATACAGGGGCTCTGGTAGCGTAGTGCTTACAAATCGGGCTGCAAACTGCAAGGTCAGCAGTTCGAAACTACCAGCTGTTCCGCAGGAGAAAGATGAGACATTCTGCTCCCGTAAAGATTTACAGCCTCGGAAACCCTGTACAGGGTCGCTATGAGTCGGA